GAAGATCAGTTAAAAAAAAGTTCTAAGTTAAAGAGTCCTAATGAAAAATTTAACGACAAAGAAAATTACATTTTGTATAAGATTGGTCAATTTAATCCAAATTTTATCTTTAATCAAAGAAACGATAAACAAGTCACCAATCAAAACAATATTATATTCAATATCAATCAAGTTAATTTGAAATCATACTCTGCAGAGCAGCGAGTCAATCAATCTTTCATTATTATGCTATTTGTTTTTTTTATAACCTATTTTCCGGCTTGTGTAGTGACTTTGTATTTAAACTTATGTGGTTTATGCAACTGTACTTTAACACATGTTTTGAGAGATTTCACTTACCTATCACTGTTATCTAGCGCTTTATGGAGGTCAATTAATTTTGCATGTCGAATTACAACATTAAAAAAGAGAATAAATGAGATTATAACGCACGTAAAACGCATTAAAAGACCAACAAATTCTACGTAACATAGCTTTAAAGCAAAAGTTTTACCTTTTTCTTTTTTAAAAAAAAAAAGACTTAACGTTAAGGGACTAGGTTTTAGAACTTATATTGATTGGTCAAATAAGGGTATTTTTTTACTCAAACTTTTTATATATTAACAAATTCTGTTTGTTTTTATAAATTCTAATTGTTTATACAATTTTTTTTTTATAATGATAATAAAAAATAACGATTTTATATAAACTATAATATTTTTTAACATTGTATTCTCCATGTGACCAATATTTAACATTGCGATTAACCAAAGAAAGTAGTTAATCACTTTACTGCGTTTATAAGCATTTATAACAAAAAACGGGGTAAACATTATATTGGTATACATTTAAATGCACCCTTAATTAAAAAGTTTTATTGAAATTTTTTTTTCGTAAAACCAAGCAAGTGTTTTAAAATGACCAAAAAATCATTTTTAGTAACAAAATATTTTAATTTTTAACATCTTATAACTAAAGTATCAATAAAAGGTAATTAAAATATATTGAAACCCTTAAATTTACTTTTAATATAATTACTTTTTAAATTTGGTTTCAAACATGCATCAAAATTCGTTTTGCTATGGTTCAATACAATATAAAATACCTCCAAACCAGTGGTATTGTGTTAAAAAAAAATGCACCAGAACGGCCAAGCTTTGAAATATAGAACGGTAATGATAAGGGCTCGGCTACTGTCGAAAATACATAGTGGTTTTTTTTAACTATGTTGATTGATATGAAAGCGGAATACTAAAGTAAGTTAAAAAGATAAATCTAAAATAAAAGTAAACTATTTTTTAGTTTTTTATTCTAATAATTATACGACAATTCACAATAATTTCTAAAGAAAATTAAACGAGGTGTTAGCTGCTGCATATTTTCTTATTTTATTTTCATCAGTAGAACGATATGTTTGCAGCCAAATTTGAACTTAGTCTTTATGGTCAAACACATCTTGCGGTGGTCCATGCAATTTTAAAAATAATAAATTGTTAACATTTCAATCAATTATGGGTTTCTCATGTCATTCAGTATTAAATTCATGCTGCTAAAACCTCTCTCACCCTTAGAAAAGCCTCATTGAATAAATCTTTGAATATGCTAATAACTGCTTCATATAATCTTCAGGTGGATTTTTTCCTCCATCATCTAAATAGTCCCTCACTCATTAACACAATTTTTAGATGACAAATTATTTCTCTTAATGAGGGAATCTAGTTTTCTTTCCCTACACCCAACTTGAGTATCACTCATTTATCACTATTTTTACTTTTTTGATGAGAAGTCAACTGTGTATCTTTTCCATAATAAGAAACGAATGTTAAAATTCACTCTTTTAAAAGATTGATTTATTGAGTTTTAGACGCTCCGAAGGTATTTTTTAATGAACATTAACGACACCCTAATTTTTCAAAATGAGATAGGTGTAAGTTATATCTTACGTTTAATAATAACATTTGTGAGACAAATTTTGTATTGTTAGTGTCACATATTTGCTGTTTGTAATAATCTTTAATCATAGATATTTCTGTTTTTCTGCCATTTTGCGTATTTATGTTAAAGCTTTACTTGAGGATTTAAATAGAGAGTGACAAATTATTATTGACAAATTCCGCCCTTAAAAAAATTATGATTAAGACATTTTTAATTTAATATGTTTTAAGTAACAAAATAAAAATTATATCGTTGTTAATTTTGTACATTGATGTACAACGCTATTATTTTTTACATGTCTTAGCCTTGATGTATCTATCATCACTTTTTTTTTTTCGAAATAAAACGAATTATTTAAATAAAACTAACTTTTTTAACTTCTGTCTTCTTGTAATTGCAATAAATGCGACCAAAGCACACAGAGCCGTCCCAAAGAGGTCTTCCATTGGGGGGTGTTGTATGTATTTTTGAGACACCAAAAAAAAAAAAAGGTTTTCAATATTTGTAATTTGCTAACTATAGTTCAATACTTGCTAAATGTGCCAACTCAAATGTTTATATGACAGCTTTGGGGGAGAGACACCCCTATATCCCCAGTTCAGGACGGCCCTTAAAGTACATATGAATTAACAACTGTCAATTTTTTGTCTATTTTAACTGTTTTAAAAAGTGCGTTAGAAATTATAAAGAGGAATGAATAAAGCACAGAATATTATTTATTATTATGTATTTCGCCATAAAGAAAATGTTTACATAATTAGACTTAAAACAAATGTATATACACGGCTGGGGCAAGAAGAAGACAAATTCAGTCTTATCGCCAAGCCCCTTCAAGACAAGAATATAAATAATAACAACAAAAATTACCGTTCAATGTAATATATGCATATAATACTAATATATAAATGCAAGTATAAAAAGACTTTATATATATATATATATATATATATATATATATATATATATATATATATATATATATATATATATATATATATATATATATATATATATATACATATATATATATATATATATATATATATATATATATATATATATATATATATATATATATATATATATATATATATATATATATATATATATATATATATATATATATATATATATATATATTAAACTTTTATTTATTAAGATTTCTAATTTCAAAATAAATAAAAATGCAAAAAAATATAAATATCAAAGAAAGGTAAAGATTCAGATTAAAATTAAAAATAAATATGAGCAAATTTAAAGTAAATAATAAGTAAAAAACAAGTGATTACTCCTATTTAAAAGTTTCAGAAAAAGTCCCGTTCGTTGTCAGTTCGCAACTTTGAACTTGATTTTTTCAAACCGAGAAAATCAAGTTCAAAGTTTTAAATGGACCTGCAGACCAAATAACAAAAAAAAAACAGAAAAAAAAACCAATTTGTATTAATCTCCTATACAGGCTACCACAGTTTTAAAGAAGTTGTATTAAAATATTTAAAGTGCAAGTGTCTGAATTACTACTAATAATTATTTTTATATTATCAATTAACAACAGTTATAATATTTAGTTAAATCTGTTTGAATTCAGACTTAGTATCAATGTGCAGCATTAATTTTCGACGCTCCAAAAGAACGCAAATATAGCCATCACGGCTATCATGAAGTTAAACCTTAGATGCAGACTCAGTGACAATTTTAATTAAACGTTCAACACTTTGATTGTGGCATGGAAATGGTTCTATATCAACAACAATATCTTCATCTGACTGAATTCAGGCCAATATTTGTGCGGTAGAAATGTGTTTTGTCAAAATGGATTCCCAGCGGGGAGTAGTTTGCCAATCAATCATCTCTTCATAGCTTGTTGCTTGAAGCCTAATTTCAGGGATTTTGAATTTACGATTTGGTATTTCATCTTCCCGTGCATGTAGAATTCTTTTCAGAGCAAGTCTACGAGTTACTTGACGGTTGTTTTTCAACATAGCAAAAATAATGCTCTCAATATGAGCTGGATAGATATTGCGCTTCAAAACTTGCTGAACCACAATTCTGTACTGCACAGGAAGAAATCGTGATGTTTCTATTATTTTTTAATAGTGTGGTGCGGCATTCCAACAGTTTGAACATTTTTTTACATCAAACCATACAACTGCATAAGAATTCACGATAAATTTAGCCAATAGTGTAAGTTCATTTGATGGAGCTACAGTAGATATATATAGGCGCAAAACACAATTTGCAAGTGACAACCACCTGGCATGGTTTACCCGCCCAGTCAATCTGAATTTAAATCCCTGTGGTACTATCCCTGTCTTCACTGTATTAATAATTTTAAAAAATTACAACTGATCACTGCTTAATAAATCTTTATCACAATTAATAAGTTCACCAGCAAAAACAGCAAAGTTGACTATGGGTGGCTGCAATAGCTTTGAAAAAGATTTGCCAATAGGTCCATTAAATGAATATTAAGAGGGCTGCAGCAAGATGAAAACTATTTGCATTTACATGAACAAATACCAAACAGTTTATTAAGATTAGTTTCTTTTCTTCTCTTTTGAGTGTTGCAGATTTTGATCGCTTCACTTTCTGAACTTCACTTATATACTTTTCCAACTGGATTTCTATCCCTCAAGAGTGTGAAAAATAAAATTATTTTACGCTGCTTGACTGCAGATTTACCGTTTCGTTGTTGTTTTTCTGTCATAAAAACATCCGCTACCATTTTGGTGTAAATAACTTTTGATTTCATAAAACGGAGATAATACACTATATATTTTTAATTCTTAAACAGGATTAAGAAGATTAAACAAAATGCAATGTGAGGTATAGTAAGTTAATTTTTTTTTTTTTTGACTGATTTATTAGTTAAAAATTAATATTTTATCCATAAAAAGAAAAAATATTGTTTTTCTCAATGTTTTTGAGATAGATAGTTTTTGAGTTTGTGGAGAACAAAATAATTCTAACTTCGCGAATTATCAAAAACTTATTTTTTATTTTATTTTTAAATTGATCAAGGAAAGAAATCTTTTTAACTAATTATCCAATAGCGTGTTCCATATTTTCGGTCCTCTGATTGCAATCGAGAATTTAGTCGCAGAATGTTTTTGGTTGAATATAATTGTTAAATTAAAATCTTGTTGGGTATAAATGATTTATTTTTTCAAAAAATAAGTTGAATAAAATGGATGCCATTTTATTATCTACTTTGAACATAAATATAAGAATGTGATATAGATTAAGTTGAAACACGAAGAGTGTTTTGAATTTATTAAAAATAATTTTAATGTGCGAGAAGCGATGCACATTTCCAATAATTCTTACAGCGTGTTTTTGTTTATTTAGAAGCTTTTTATTTTAAGATACATTAGTGCTGCAACAAGCAACGTTGGCGTAATTTAAATAGCAATGAATAAAAGAAAAAAATTGAATTTCAAACAATTTTGGTTTAACAACTGTTTGGTTTTGTATAAAGGAACGCACTCTTGTCAAACCCCTATTCCGACGTTGAGCGTCCTTTGCGTCCGCGAACTCGTGTTTCTAGGAAAAGGGCAAAACGGGGTATATAGGGATATGCGCAGCGGTGCGCACATACACCAACTAATTTTTAGAGAGAACATGCAGCGGAGTGTGTAAACAACGACTGAGGGTTTGGGGTGGGTAGGTTCTCTTTTAAATGAAGAAGTCGTTTTTTTACATTTTCGGACCTTAAGGACAGCGTCGGAATAAGGGTTTGACAAGAGA